GGGAGAGGCGCGCGCGGGGGGGGGGGAGGAAGAAGAACACCGCGAATCCCCCTCAGGAGCCCAGCAGGCCCTGAAATCGACCCCCCTCCCCTTATTTTTACCCCCTTTTGAACTTTAATTTACGCCCTTCTCCTTATTCCGTTGTTAATATAAAAACGTAATACTTTTCTAATGCTTTAAAAAAATGTTTGCACTCTTTAAGTGTTTTAAATTTTGTCTTTTTAACGGTGTGAGCCGCCTTGGGTCCTTTTTAAGGGGAAATGCGTGGTGAAAGATATTTAAATAAGTACGAAGGACATAGCTTCGCCCCACTCCTTACCACCACCACCACCACCCGCGGCTGGAGCAAAGGCAACCCTAACTTCCTCTCCTCTTCCCTCCAGCCACCCCTTTCGGGCTCGTTTACCTTTCCACTTCCTTCTCCTGAGGGCGCAAAAACACACAACCCGGTCCCACGGGGCAGCAATGAACAAAGCGCCGCCCGCGCTCCCTCTTATACCTCTTTCCCCCCCTCCTCGCCCCGCTCGCGCCTTTCCCTTTCGCCTCCGCTCCGTCCAACGCGGCGCGCCCCTCCCTCCTCTCCGCCCGCGTCACTCTGTGCCGAGTGCCCCCCCCGGGCGCGCGCGCTCTCTCCCCGCCCCAAGGTGTGCAGCCAGCGGGGAAATGGCCCAGCTGCTAATCATGTGATGGCAGGGAAAAGCAGCGGCGGGGAATGACTGGGCTCCGCCAGAGGCTGCCCTGAAAAGGGGCGGGGGCGGGAAGGGAAGGGAAAGGACAGGACCGGGCGGGGGCGGCCGAGACGCCGAAGATAGCCGCCGCCGAGAGCACCAACTTTCCCCCGAGGATTTGCTCGCCTTCTCGACCCCACGCAACTCACTTGCGGGCGCTTTCAAACGCTGCCAGGTTCTCCGTGGTATAAATGGAACACCGTCCACTTTCCAGAGGCAAGAACACGGTGTAATCCTCAACGGCAGCCATTGCAGACCGGAAACAGGGATGGGGTGGGAATGGAGAGGGTCGAGGTTAGGGGAGATCAAAAGGGAATGGCACCGACTGGCTAATGATCTCCACCTCCCGAACTTCAAAACAGCCTTGCAGCACTTTGAAAACGATCAATGTTTTAGTGTGACATAAACTTTTCTGGACCGTGGCCCGTTTCGTCTCGTACCGCAATGTCATCTGCTTGGCAGTTAATTAGACCTACTCTTTGATCGGAGTGGAGTGCGAGAGAATTGTTAAACTACAATCCGTCATAGTAGCCACTGACAACCAGTAGTTGGGAGGCAACACAGATTTCCTCGCATGGGTGGCTAACACCAATTGAGATGTTAAAAGCTGTTGCTCCAGTTCAACCCACAAGAGATAGAGCAGAACCTCTCGATGTATTCTTCTCCAGTCGCTTCCGGATGAACTTTGTGCTCAAAGTTCTTCATTTCAAGAACGCCACCTCGGAGTTAGAAGAATTCTGCATCCCAGACCAGTTGCTTCCAGCCTTTGACCCTCTAGATTGCGGGCCTTCAACTTCCAGAAGCCACAGCCAGCATGACTAATGGTCAGGGATTTGGGAGTAAAAGTAAAAACGAAAAGAACTCACAAACTCTAGAGAACCAAATAGTGAAAGCTACTGCCTCGGGATACTTAGATTCCCCCCCTCCTTTCCCCCATACACTTCCGGTTCCTACAGCATTTTAAAAACATTCTAGCATTGCATGGTTCCTCAGGAGTCAGCCACACTGATTTCAGTGAGATTTATTCCCAGCCTAATGTGTGTAACATGGAAATCAAAACTTTGGTGATGATTATCAATATGGAACTAGAGTCTTTAGTTCCAGTTAACAAATGCAACCTTTGGAGGATCAGAGGCAATGGTTTCCGTACATTTAACGGTTGTGAAGAAACAAGAAATTTGACGGCTGTTATGCAACTGTTAGTATTACTGTATTTATTTGGATTTTTTTTAAATGCTGCTTTTTCTCATAGACACTTTAAGGGATTTATAATAAAGAATGTAAACAAGGTATTAGCGGACTAGATGATTTCAACACTTTTTTTCTTGCCAGCAATTGTTATGTGCCATCAAGTCATCTCAGACTTATGGCAAGCCTTTAAATGAGTGATATCCAAAATGTCCCATCCTCCACTGCCCTGTTCAGCTCTTCTACATTCAAACCTGTGGTTCCTTTAGGGAGTTACTCCATCTCTTCCTCTTTTTCTGCTGCCTTCTACCTTTCAAATCATTATATTTTCCTTTTTTACCCTGCCAGCAATAGCACCCCATTTCTTTACCAGAGAATATTTGCCAGCAATAGTACCCCATTCACATAGTTCTGGACTTAATTATGCTTAAACGGTAAATTACATTATTTTGCTCATTTCAGAATATGAAAACCAGTTCTCTTCTCTTGAGTGGATGGGTGTGTCCTATTAATTATTTTGACAGGCATCCTGTACTGTCTACCTATATGTTAAGCTCCTCATATTGTCCAGTGTTTACTGGATCTTTTTGCTCTGTTCAAGTTACTCTAGAGCTGTAGCTCCCAACCTTGGGCCCCCAGATGTTCTTGGACTAAAACTCCCAGAAGCCTTCTCCACTAGCTGTGCTGGTCAGAATTTCTGGGAGCTGTCATCTGAAAACACCTGAGGACCCAAGTTTGGGAACCATTGCTCTTTAGACTCCATTTCCAGTCTTGCCAATATTCATAGGAATCTACAGTATTCAGAATTCTGTGTTTTGAAAAGCACTGCTTGCTTTTGAATACAGTGGTGCCTCGCTAGATGATGATAATCCGTTCCACTGAAATCGCTGTTTAGCGAAATCATCATCTAGCAAAAATCATTTCCCCATTGGAATGCATTGAAACCTGTTTTGCGAACCGCTGATCAGCTGTTTAAATAGCTGTCTTGCGAAGCTTAGGTCCCAAAAACACCCGTTTTACGAGCACGGAGGGAGCTGTCAAAATCGTTGTCTAGCGAAAATCGGTTTGCGAAGCAGGGACCAAACATTGTCCAAATTCCCCCATAGGAATCACTGTTTTGCGAATCGCTATAGCGATTTTGAAATATGTAATTTTATGATTTTATATATTTTTATATTGTTTTGTTTTATTTTGTAAGCCGCCCCGAGTAGACATGGTCTAGAGGGGCGGGGTAAAAATCAAATAAATAAATAAATAAATAAATAAATAAATTCCCAACTGGCACCCTTTTTTGACAAGTGGTCCACCAATCACCAAGGACACTTGGGTGCTATCCATCACACATTCGGTTACCTGTTGGAATTCAAGGAGCTTCCTCCTCTCGGTCATGTCAGACCCACAGCGTACTCACCTGCTCTAGAGGACACGGTTACACTCCTCCTTCGAAAGTGTGCTGTCCAGAGGGTTCCTCCCCAAGATGTTTTGAATGGCTTCTACTCCCGCTACTTCACGGTCCCCAAGAAGGATGAAGGCCTCCGTCCCATTTTAGACCTGTGACTGCTGAACACCTACATCCAGCCAAGGCGCTTTCGCATGGTCACCCTTGAATCAGTTATCCCTCTGCTTCAACCAGACGATTGGTTCATGGTCATAGACCTACGGGACACTTATTTCCACAGTATCTTTTCACAACTGTAAAGAGGCTGTGCCCAAGATGCCGCCCTTTCATCATGGCTGAAGTAGGATTCAAGTACTAATCAACTGGCTTCTGAATGTGGAATACATGGTGGTTGTGATGCCATCTGTTCTTTTCCTCAGACAGCAAAATGCCTTTGCCTAGTATTTTGGTCCATCCCCCCCCCACCTGTTTGTCCAAGGAGTATATGGCACAATTGTTAGGATAGGGTACAAAGGCTACCCCACCAGCTGCATAGAAAGAAGTTCACCCATTCCGGCTGATATGCTAGCTGGGCCAAAAAATGGAAGAGCTCTTCACGATAGGATCTCAATAGGCATTTTGAAACTCTTTTGATGTCAATACAAGAATTATGTGGTGCCTGGGGTTTATCTGGGGCAGTGACAAGACTACACAGCCCCCTTATTTTAATAAATGGGTGAGGGCATCTGCCCCTTCCCCCCTGCATCTATGCATGTGAAAAGTAGAATACTACTATTAAAGAAGGGTTCCTGAGCCACACTTAGAAGTTCCTGCTTAGAAAACTGTGTTATAGCAGGCCAGACTGTTTGTCCATTTCAACTGCCTATTTTGGTCAGTGCTAGTTTTCTAGTGAGATCTAAGACAGAAGCTTTACTCAAAACCTGCTATAAAACCTGAACTGAAGATGTCACAAGCTGAACCAGGTATCTCCAGCATGCGAGTTAAAACTGAGGTACGTTCCCCCCACCCCTAGCAGTGTGGAACGGCTATTCAAAAATGTAGATACAGCAGGATTACATCCTCTTCTTACTTGAAGTTGTTCATCCAAAATATTTACTTCTTGGCCCCATATTCAGAGTCCAGTCTTTTTGGATTTATTATATTCCTAGCCTAGATATGTAATGAAGACACAATGATAGCAGCTTGGGCATACACAATGAGACTGAGTAAATTGATGATTTAAGAGTCAAAAGAAAAAGAATACAAAGGCTAAAGACCTTTCTTTCAGTCCTAACACCCTCACAGGTGCATTTGGTTGAGACCAACGTGCCCTCAAATTTTCAGCCCCTTTCTCTCCCCCCCTCGGTCTGGAACCAAAGGGCTGAATGTGTAGGAGGGGGCAGAGACGTGTGCACCTTACAGGGAACCTTTGTGGGGACACAGGAAAAGGCCTTCTCTGTTGCTCCTCCCAGACTCTGGAACTCCCTCCCACAGGAAGCCAGGCTGGCCCCATCTTTGCTGTCCTCCCACAAGCAGGCAGAGACCTTTCTCTTTAGGCAGGCTTTCCCTCAGCGATTGACTGACTGGGATACAATAAACAGGATAGTTTATATTTTATTGCTTCTAAATCTGTTGGGTTTTCTATAAAGCTTTTACCTGATATTTTTAATACATTTGATATTTGAATAATTTGCTGTTTTGAGCTTTTAATATTGTGTTTTTAATGATGCCTTGGGGTTTTTTTAAGGTGAAAGATGGGGTTAAAGTATGTTGAATAAATAAATAAAAGGGCGGGATGTAACAAGGAAGTCAGGAAACCACTTTTTTATTTGGCAGTGTATTGGGACAGTGACTGGGTAAACCAGCCTGACCAGCATGTAATATTATCCACCACTGCTTATCTTTTGTTTAACAAAGCTTACTGACCTGTTTAATACAGTATTTGATGTCTTTTTTCCTAGCAAAAGGAAGGATGTCAGTGAGATAATCAGTGTTCACAGGATTTATCCACGAGTAAGGCACCCACTCTGTTAGCAAGGATCTCTGGACACACTAACATAATATTATTCCTGTATTCTATTTTTGAAAAATCAGACAGATTCTTAAGGCTGGCTGATTTTTAAAAATATTATCATTACAACTCCATCATGCATATTCAGTAGATTCTAGAAAGCTTATATGATTAAATTACAAGCATAAATATCAGCTTCCTGTTAAAGT